GGCGAAAACAAATTAGCCCACGATAATCAGCGTGTTTCAAACCACTAAATTATGAAAAAATCTCAGATATGAAAATTTCGTTTCAGTGGCACTTCAAGCCTGAGCGGGCGGTATTTTACAAACACTCCAATCTGATTGGTTACGAGAGCTGGCAGAATTCTCCCATCTGGCCCGCTCATACTTTGTGTTAGGTAGAGACTTCAGTCAAGGCCTACAGCCAAAAAATATAACACCCATCTCTACCTCAGATCACTTTGGTTTGCCTTTCATAATTAGGTTTATAAATGAATTACATGGGTTCATGCGCGGCCTAAAAACCTGTTTCATTTCTTTGCTAAATTCACCTGAAAAAAGCTACGTAGGGAATACGTTCATGATGCTTTTCCGAGTTGGTCTTGACCTCCAGCAGTAAATAACATGATTCAGGAAAGAGTTGAAAACCATCACAGTCCGTGAGTAAAAAGGAAACTGTCCACAACTCCACGTATTACAGAGACAATTATGGAACAACACATCGGCAAGTAACAAAAACTACAAGATAGACATATAGTGTACTCATTGCAGAAGTATTTTCTACTGTGCTCTTCTGTGTATTCACTTTTTTCAAATTTAATATTAGGCAAGTGAGTGACCTTTAGTGCTGTAATGTTATATCAACTGGTTTATGCGTAGTGTTCGTATGTTGAGGTAAAAGTGTTCTTTCAAGCTTTTTAATACTTTTCGCTATGCAAACTCGATTTGCATTGGTAATTAATACCCTTGGGATTATGCAAATGTCATTATAAAAGAGGTTACACGTACTCCACCCCATCATTCTACTCGAGCCGGCCCCCAAAAGTGCAGAGCTTGGCAACCCACCTTCCCTCCCAATCGAGTAAGTCGGGCTTGATCCTCTCAGCTCCTATCTTCGCCTGGTCTTGGGCTTGTTCCAGGCCGGAGCGATTCTCCACACCTTATTAGCATATCATTAATAACAATACCCAGGGTAGAATATTACAGAATTTAAATAAAATTCTCGTCCTTCGGAATAAGACTTCAGTGAAAAGCGTTTGTCGCACATTATGATAAATAACTGTCCCACTTTGTAATAAACTTGGTTTAGATAATCGGTGGGCAGGTAAACCCAATCGTAACAATGGTTTCAGCCACCATGGTGCGTATAAACCTCTTTTTAGACATAGGAAACCTTTCCTGCAACAAAGTCGTGCTCCCAATCTATTCAGACGCAATGATTTTATATTAGAATAGTAAAAGAAACGAGTATACGAGGGCCTTTCGACAATTTTAAACTGTCTTCAGTTGTCAAATGAATTACACGAATTAAAGCAAAAAACCAGCGATGTTTTCTGGCAAAAATGATTTTAGGCTTCTCTGACTCATATATCATTCAGTTAAACATCCCTACTCACTTCTGAAACACAAATTCATTAAAGTCACTCTACTCCACGCATATTTCGCTCAGGAGGTGAATAGCTTTCATCAGCACCTTACAGCGAACCGATCAGATTACTTGAAACATCAAGATCGCTGATTGGGTATATGAATATTTACCGCAAAGATAATTTCTTCCATGCTGTGTTAACAACATTTATTACACGACTCAGGCAGTCAGTCGGCCAATAACTAAAATCAACTAATCAAAATGCTCTATTGCCGGTCCGATATTCTCTAAGTGTTGGACCGGGTACTGTCCCGAAT